TTTTTATTTTATTTTCAAATTAATAGATTAATTTTTAATATTTCCCAAAACCAAAATACTTTGCTGCGTTTCAAAACTAATTTAACTAAGTTGTTTTCATTTTGAAATTGCTAAAATTGCTGATTTTAGAACCATTTTTAGCAATTTTTCATCACATTCTAATTCTCGTTATTAAAAAAATCTCAAAAATAAAATATACTTTTCTGAAACTTTATTTGAGGAATATTAGCCAATTTAAATATTAATTCATCTGATTTGAAACAAATATTACTTAAAGTTTAAAATATCGCAGAAATGCATTTTTCTAACACGGTGGTATCTGTAAATTTAAGGTGTTAAACAGGTTGAATGACAGATGGAAGTTTATCTAATTTTTTTCTGCAATGGATATATCTATAAAGTTTACTTAAGGAATATAACATGAGTACCTTTTTTTATATATAATTTTTAACTAACAGTAATCTTTAAAATTTAGGAAAATATTTTCTGTAATCCAATGTTTTATTGAATTTTTAAGTATTTTGGTTTTAAATTTAGCTTAGTTTTCTCTCTTATTCTTTTATAATGTTGGTGTATCAGCATCCATATTTACAAAAATTAGAACGTTTGTACACACACAAAAAAATTTAAAAATTCTTATTAAAATATTGATGCTCAATGAATTGTACTAAGTTTTTCCATTTATCATTAAATATAGTTTTTACTAGCAATATCACCTAACCTCTGCAAAGTAAGACAGAATTTTAAACTTTATAAATTATTATAATTGATAAAAAATATTCTTGTAAAAATTCATTATTTATTGAATTTTTTTTTTTTTTTTTAAAGTGTCCATAATAAGCAATTAAAGCTTTTCAAATTAAATAATGTCTTAGTTTTTAAATTTTATTTTACAATTCAGAACAGATATTTGGTAACTGGAGGTCCTGTTTTACAAAAAGAGGTTGATGATTTAAATTCTCCAAGGGGTTCTCCATATATATATATATATATAAAAAAAAAAAAAATAATTTAATTCATTTGTGAAAAAGTCGTGAAAGTTTAAAATCTGACACTTATTTGATTTTTACTTTACAAGAATTTTGAAATCGATTTTTTCATCGCAAAAAAAGATGCTAAAATAGTTTGCCTTTTTCCCCCCATTTTAAAATTAAAAAAAAATTGTTAGAGCCAGCCATAATTTAAGAGTTTCTTTAACACTGCCTACTTTTAGTATATAAACAATGGAACCTGTGACATCTACGTCATGAGAAGAGTCCACTACACAAAGTAAAGATGTGTAAAGCACTCACTGCGTTTTTGTTTTTTCTCAGCATAAATGAAAGTTTTGAGGTCAGTGCATTAATTGCAATGTTTATTATTATTATTTGGCATATAGCAACTTGTTTTTTTAGTTTGCGATGCAATTCTCTATCAATTGAAAATTTTTTTTTACTTTTCAGTTTTCTATTTTCTCAAAGAATACAAAAAAAAAAAAAAAAAGATTTTATACACAAAAGTGTTATTGATATTTTCCAGAATTTAGTTTTTAGTTCCTTGCTTTTCAAATAATTTGCAAATTAAACTTTACGGAGATTGCAATTAACATCCGTAAAAAATAAATAAATAAACCTCTAGCTTACAAAAATAAAATTTTAAAAAGGTTTGCATGAACTGAATTTAGTTACTTACATTAATGTAAACACTAAATCAGTTAGTGAATCATTAATTCTGAAAAAATAAAATGACTTTTTTTTTTTACTTAGTGATCAATTTATATAATAGTTTTGTTTTCACACCGAAACATTTTTCCACTAACATTTCTTAACCAATCACTTCGGTGTGCACTGAACTATGTTGATTATTGCATATATGATAAAAATAAAAAAAAATAACAGTAAAACACTAAAAAAAGACAAAAAATATATTTAAGAGAATATTGCTATATACATCGACCCATTGGAAGCATATAAAAAAGATTAGCTGAGCCTGAGATCGTCACGAAATTGGTGACAATTTAATTAACAATGTTGTATCGATATTACTTATGTCTCCTGCTAAAAGATGGGCATATACTATAGAATATGACAAATTACGCTTATTTTAAGAAAAATAAACAACAATCACTTAAAACATTTTTTTAAATTTTTTTGTCTCATTTCCATCATTGTCAGCATTTTGTTGATGAGTTACCCGCCCCTTTCCATTTATGGCAAGTCGCGCGAAAAATCACTGTGACAAGAATAAATCAAAAAAAAAAAAATTTCATTATAAAAGCGATAAACTTATGCAATATTTTTTTTAAAATGACTAATTAATGCAAAATGCCTAAATACTTATTAACTCTAATTTTTGTCTTTTTAAAAATAATTTTTAATCAAAGATTAAGAACTGAAGGAATCTTGTTGAAATAAGTTTCTTCACATTATTATTTTGTTTGAAAGATACAAACTAAACATGAAAAACAAAACTATACATCTTTTCAAGAAGCCAAATTGTTCTAAAAAAAAAAAAAAAGAAAAAAAAGTAGACTCCAGTCATTGGCAAATAAACTAAAAATATAGAATCATCAAACCAACAGCATGTTGGTCAGAGTCTATTTTTAGTTGGAAAAGGCGATATCAACGCAAATATCAATAAAAACAATTTTAAAAAGAAAATGTTACACACAAATTTGTTTTAGTTTTCATTTCAAACACGCTTCTTTTTTTTTAAGATACAAAACTAAATTTAAACTGCGAAGTATATTCTTTCGGTGTTATGATGCTACAACGTACTTTTATACCTAAAAAACAAAAGAAGTGGCAAACTAACATTCTTTTTGTTTAAAAAACAAAACAAGCCTTTGTTTGAAAGATCAAGTCCATATCAGTCGCATGTACATTCATGAGCTAGTAAAATCAATCCCACATTTGAAAGCTCTTAAAAAATTTTTTTTTAAAAATGGAAATTAAAACCGGTATTTTAGGTCAACTACATAAATAGATTTTTTTCCATGCCAAATATTTTGAATACACCCAGATATGACATGGTGGAACTAAAAATTGTAGATATATATGCCGTGCTAGTTATTTGTCACTAAAAGGTCTTCAGTTTTTAAACATAGATGTTGAGGTGGGGATGCAAAAGAAAAAGTGAGAAACTAAGGATTTTTTTAAAAATAAAATTAACCACGAGGTTACAAGAAGCACATGTGAGTGAGTGAGTGAGAGCATATGGTAAGGAGGTAGTACAAATAGTCACTGAATCGAAACTCAGTCATTGCTTTGGTATCACATCTCTGACCAACATGCCACCGCGCGCATGTATACACGCACACACAAAAAAAAAATCCAGATCATACTTGCCTTAAAAAGACGCAAATTTACGAGAAGATTTCACTATTACGAAGCGTACAGTTCTCTTTTTTTGTATGAGCAATATATTTGTTTGGAGGGTCCTAACTTGAGAGAAAGAGAGATATAAGCAGTTTTATGGATATATATATATATATATATATATATATATATATGTATGTATGTGTGTATGTATATGTATGTGTGTGTGTGTGTGTGTGTTTGTTGAGAGAGAGAGCAAACTATCTTTTTTGTTGTTGTTGTTATAGGGCGATATACCTCAACAGAGAAGTCGAGAAAACTGATATTACCGTACTCCTTGGTACAGCAAAGAAAGCCCTGTGTGAGCAATATTTTAGAAATCCGCCGAGTCGAGCAGTTAAAATGAGTGAAAATACGTGTGTAGGTGCGTGTGTATGTATGTGTGTATAGATGGATGGATGGATGAGTACTTAAAAAGGAAAGCAAATGAAAACTAGGGGGAAGCAACTTTGAACAGTCGAGGTAGAGGAAACTTAGCGATGGAGAGGGATGGGCAAAATATTGAAGATACGACTTGAGAACCGTTTCCTCTCACTATTTTGCTTTTTTGTGAATTATACGGAGGGGGAGGAGTAGCAGCAGGAGGAGGAAGAGACGCGCATGCGCAGAGATTCAAACTAGTAGGACAAACTAATGCAGTGCTTCCCCCTCCTACTTTGAAAGAGATCACAACATAACATTTCAATTGCTGTATGCCTTACCTTACGTATCACTCGTCACTTTAAGCTGTAATTGTAATTTTAAGCACAACTCTCATCTTTAATGAAACCAGTTTCAGGAACTAAACCTACAGGCAAATCAAAGAATGAGTTTCTCTCACGCTTCTTGTTTTCTTTTTATTGTCACACTATTGTTAGTAATTGGTGCTGCAAGTACAATGTAAGCAATCTTTGATTGTCCAGAAAAGCGACACAGAAGATGAAAACAGAACTTAAAAGATTCTGAACAACGTTTATTTAATTTTTTTAAACCACGCAGTACCAAAGATTTGGAAAAAAAAGAATGTGCACTTCTGAAGGGAAATGTTCGCACTTACATTTATTGTCATTCTTAGGGAAAACGACTAATGATAATAAGAGCTATATAAAATGTGATAGAGACATGGGATATTAAAGACAGAAAAAAGTTGTTGGATTTTAGCAGAAAGTTATTTGAGGATAATGCAGGTAAGTAAAGTGTCGGCGTGCATGTATGTGTATACGTAGTTTACTTATTCGGCCAGGAAAGGATTGAGGTCAGGTGACTGCAGTCGACCAATCAACGTTCGTTGTTCGGGTACTCACTATAGTATGGTTGATGCCAGCAGCCCGCTCTGTTACTGATTCAACTATCGTGTTAGTTCTCATGGTCTAGTTACAACCTACAGTTGCCGGTATACCGGCCAAACCTATCGCTATTGTCCTGCATTTATGTACTCGATTACTCTACGAAGGTGTCTGACACCATTTTAAAGTCAAAACCTGATATTTGGACGAATTTATTGGGTGTTTTGATTGATTTCGAACGGCTTTGTAATCATGTGATATCGATTGACCAATCAAAATTTTTGATTTTCAAGCGAGCATATATAAGGCTGAAATGCGAGAGAACTGGAGTAATGCTGGCAAGGAAGCTCGCGCTGGTCTTGGAAATCCGGCGTGGAAAATGGATACAAAGACCCATCCAGCTCTGCAAGGATATCAAACGAATGCTCCAAAGATGTCTAAAGGGTACTGAAATTCTATTTTTGTTCTTAGCAACTTAAAAAGGCTTTATTTTAACCATCCGAGGAGTAGGAAGCTCCATTGTAAAAGTCCGCCATTGTTCGTAAGTAGGCTGCCGTTTCGACTCTCTTTTCTTGGTATCTTTTTCAAAAGTCGATCTAAGTACCAGCTTTTTTATGTAATCAGTCTTTCTTCTAAAGATGTTTAGATCATTTTGATGCATATTGCGTGCGTGAAATCGTCTCTTTAACTGAACATTTCAGTAGGATTTTGTCAACTCTTAGTCGTGATCTAGAAAATAAAAATGTCGTTTTAACCGAATCAGCAAATGTCGCTATTTCTTCCGCTATTTCCCTCCCTTCCAGCCCATCAAAAAAAGTCTCATGCTGTTAAAATGATTGTTATCCTCTGTTCTAGTGTTTGTTTATGAATTATCTACCCTCAGTTCTTATAAATACATATGTACGAATAATAAAAAAAAAAGAAAAAATTCAGACAATTTGACAAAATAAAGACTAGCTGAAAAAGGGTTTTTTTTCTTCTCCCTTTGAGGAAAAAAATCATGAAAACGGTGTTTCTGTGTAATTGATTTCATCTCTTTAATCGTGGTACCTCCTATTTGAATCTTTTTGTGACACTGCAGTCAGTTTTCCCTCCTTTATATCCAATCCTACCATGTCCTACTCCATGATCGGAAAATGAGGGGTCAGTACACAAAATCAAAACTGTTAAATACTGATCCCTGAATTTGTGACCATATCGTACATATTTACAAGCAATATCTTTTTGAAGGTTGTTCGATTGTCGATCGAGTTGAATGCTAAAAGCAAAATCTGTGCATTTATTTGCTTTACTGTAGATGTCTTAAACTTTATTTTCATACTAATAAAGACTAAGCTTTTAAATACCCACTAATATGATCAGCAGGAGTAGCTGTAGTATATTATAGTAGTAGTTCCACCATGATAGATCGTTACTGCCTCCATTTCCTTCTAGACGTCTCTTAGGTCGTTGCTTGTACGTTTTTATTAAAAAAAATGTCTATTGCAATTATAAAAAATATTTTAATGCTTATTTAATTCAACAATGTGTATCGTAGGTAAATATGCTTAAGCTAGCTTCTAAGTAATTTTAAGTGTTGCTGCTGCTAGTGGTGGTAGTAGCGATGATAATTAATTTTTGTAAGCGCGCTTCTTCTGTGTGTTTAACCGTTGATGGAGGAAGGAGTCGACCAAGCTTGGTCTACCTCACCCATCTCTTTATCATCACCTACACTCGCTACATTTCTGCTTGCTTGCCTTTCCCTCGATTTCAGTCATGTTGCCTCCCCCACTTTTTTTTTCTCTATACGTCCCTTCTCTGCCCGGTTAGTGAAAAATTGGTTTTGCTCTGTTTGAAATATCCAACCGCCTTTTTTCTTTGCTCTTGCAACATTTGATGATAGATTTCATTCACTCTACTACTACTGTTATAGCTATTGCTATGTCAAAGGAACTTTGTTTTTCTTTAGAAGAAAATGGAATAATACATGAATAAAAGTGTTGGTCCACTTAAATAAAGGCGGTTATCGTCGTTTTTATAAAAAAAATAAATAAATAAATAAAAATGAGGACTAAGTAATGAAATAAATAACCTTGTAAACGATTTTCCTATACAAGCAGGTTTCAATTTAGCCCTTATTAAAAATGGGAATTGATTATAAATATGAAACTTTTCTTAGTAACAAGAAAACATTACTATTTATTTTTTCAAAGCAACTTACTTCTTATAGCTATGACACACTCCCAACTGGCGGCATAAGCAGTGGCTACAACAGGAAGTATGAATGTTCAGTAAAGCTTTGTCACCATTACTGCTGCTAGCTTCGATGGCAGCTCCCCTTTCTTTTCTTTTAACCCACCCCTCATAATATTTATGGACACTGATAGAAATTGATCGGTTTTATGGCATCTTTCGTGTATTTAAAATTAATGTCCAGTTTTTGATTTTTAGTAAATTTCATAATTGCAGTATTTTCATCTTTTTACATAACAGCCTTCTTCCTTACTTTACCTTCCTTGTGGGACATGCATTTTTAAATATTTGGAAACAACCTTTCTATTTTTAACGTTTTGTTTATGATATCTAATTTACATAAAAATTCTCACCTGTTTTTTTGTTTTAAGTATTTGATTTCTTAACGTGTCGACCATATTTACAAGTTTTAGCACGTGGTAATAGCAAATAGCTTTCGTCTTTTAACCCTTTTCATTGTGTTACTTACTGTCATCCTTCATTTCCTTCGTGGTGTTGTTAAATAAACTTCCTCATTAATCCTGATCAAATAATAAATTCAGTTTATAATTAATCAAGCCAATGAGCTCTGGATGAATGGAAATGTGGATGGTATGACAACAGGTAAAAACAACATACTTGATGGTAATCTATTCATTTTCACCTAGTTAACCCCTGCCTGATCTGACCAATAAAGCTCTTCAATTGTGAAAATAGCTTCTATTTTGATCATTTCCCTAAATAAGTATTTTTTGTAAATCTTATTTTGAAAAAAATTCCAATACTATCAGTATACATTTGTTAGTGATGTAAAAATGAAATTTTTCCTGAATTTAATGCTCTTTCTGTTTGATCAGGAAGTACGAGTAAGTTTAAGTGTAATGAAACGTACAACAATATAAGTGAAAACTTTCGTGGGAAAGTAGGAAAAGGAAGATAAGAAAACGTTTCATCTGTTGCCTACCTTCTTTCTGTGTATAAATAAATAGGTCACTCGGCTCCAGCCACCAATTTGCTTCTGCTGCTTCTCACATAAGATAGGCGCTTTGTCAATGTGTCTGTCCTCTTTTCTTTCTTCCTAAAGTTAGAATCTTTATTTTTTGCCACTAGTTTGCTCTACCGGTTTCATCAATATGAGCTATTAGTAAAATTATTTACGTTGATTAAAAAGAAAAAGTTTCTTACCGGCTGCCACAACATTGTTTTAAAATTTTTATAATGTTATGGGTTTATTTTAGCCGTGTGTTATAAAGTCATGATTAGAGGAAATGTTTGCTGCCAGTTCGATAGCTTTTATGTGTAGTGTAATGTATTCCTTGACATTTAAATTTTTCGCACAAGATAATTAGAAACTAGACGTCTTTCATGATTACGAAGCGCGTTTACACCGTACATTTTCATTAAAAATTAACTTCTAATGAGTAAATTACTGGATTACTAACAATTAAGTGGTCTGCGTATATTCAAGGGCTGTCGTTTTTAAATTCACAATTTCTAAATTTAAAAAAAAAAAACTATCAACGAAAACTTAGAATTCTACCTCGTAGTTTAACATCCTATGTTACATTTGCTTTTTCTTTATAACTTGTTGATCATTATACTTGAAAGTTAATAGGTAATTTCTTATAGATTTAGTTTTCAGATGTTATAATATCTTAAATAAATGCCTTCGTGTGAAGATTTGATTTTTAAAACTTCATTCTAAACTACCCTTTTTGCTCGAGGTTCAAAACATGGAATTATTAGTAACCATATCTGATTTAAACGCTTCACATTGTATAAAGTTTTTTTTTTTTTTTTTTTTCTATATATGCATACACTTCCTACCAACAATTACTAAAAAGTAACGATTATACTGAATTGTTCTACTTAAGGCAGTAAAGGAGAAAAAAATTACATATCGAATCATTATCAAACAAACTTCATGTTACCTGGGTATTTTATTTCTACACTCGATCATTTCTCATCTTGTTCTGATAGAAACTGAAAAGAAAAGCATAGCTCATTCTATTGGTTGGTAAAGTTGTACCGTTACGTTGAGTAAATATAAATTTAGCGCTATAAGTATAGTATGCCTTATTTACTGTTAGTGATGTAGAGAAACCATATGGGCGTATGTTTCATCCCCTCTGACTTTCTCAGTTCAGATAGTCAACTCTGGGAAAAGTATTATTAACAAAGTTCCAAGCCAATTATTGATTTTCATGGCGATCCCTCCTCTCTAAATGAACGAAGTAGCAACAGTGAATGAACTAACCTGTAAATAATGCATTATGACGCCTCCTCAATGCATCTTTATCAGTGTGTTACTGTTATTATATTTTTGATGCCATTCTGTTTCAATCTAGACAACAAAAAATAAAAATGAAGGTAGGATTATTACAAACACGTTAAACTACCTCCGTTGCTGCATCCCCCCAGTGTTTCACACTATTGAAAAATTTCCCCATGATTTTTTTTTTTTTTTTTTTTTTTTTTTTTTAAGCAATAATAATTGCTGTTAGTGTATTATTTAACTTGGAGTTAAGTTTGTTTTTTTTTTTTTTTTTTTGTTCCGTTCATCGTAATAAAATCAGTTTGTATTATTCATTATGGACTTTGCGTTTTTTTATTTTTGCACATAAAAATTTAAAAGCTATTTTCTTGTGGCCGTTTCCGTTTCGCGCACATACAACAACTTTTACTTTTATATATAACTTGATTCATTTTATTTTATAATAATAAATACCTGGCATTAGCCAGGGGAGAAAATTAAGTATGTTACCCAAATTGAAATAAGATATATGTAGTTGGACGCTCAAAGGAGATAGGAGGACGTTTAGTTTCCTGCGACAATAATTTTCAGCTACATTATTCAGTCTCAAATTTAAAAAAAAAAAATAGTAATAGGAAATTTTACACACATCTGATATATTTTCAGTAAGATATTTCTAATTAAATGGGAAATATATGATGTTTATATACTGGTCATTACCATCTGCAAAACAAAAGTCACAAAGAGAATCTTTGGCTGCAATCAGTTTTAAGAGAATTTCAAGTTTACGTTGAAACTGATGTATTGAAGTTTGTTTGTTTTTTTTTTTTTTTTTTTGGCAAAATATTTTTTTCAGTATTTCTTTCAAGTCGAGGCTTAAAATGTGCGTTGAGTTTCATTTACATGACCTTAACGACAACGTGGTTGTTTACATTTTTATCTTTTTAAAAGGAACTAGTTTGCAGAAGTTTGTGCGATT